CGTTATCATATTTGGACTGAACCGTTATTGTATTTGGACTGAACCGTGATTGTATTTGGACTGAACCGTTATCGTATTTGGACTGAACCGTTACCATAGTTGTGTTTAACCATCAGTGTATTTGGGCTGATTTGACACTTTTTTTGGATTGAACCATCAAAATATTTGACCTGAACCGTCACCGTATTGGATCTGAACCTGCAGGGTACTGATGTTAGGCCTGAGTACCACAGGCTGTGAGCATTTCCATTCATCTGTGGGGCTTTGCTTTTCATTTGCTGCACATACACTACAGGAAATGCAAAGTTTGTTTTCTCAGTCATCCAGGTATATAACAACAAAAAAGGTTGAATCATGTCACTACAGGAAATGGTTTTGATCAGCTTCTTTCACATGTTGCAGATGAACTGCTACCGTGTCGGTGTTGCTGACTCACCTCCTGGTGCAGGTCGCTGAGGTCATGGTAGGAGGCGTGGCGAGCGCAGCCTGAATACTGGTTGGTGCAACAGGAGTCAGGTGGCCACTCCATCTCTGTCATCTCCAGCCAATCAGTGAAGTAGATCACACCGCAGCATTTAAACTACAGTGAACACATACATCAGTCAGCGCAAAGATCACATGACCTCCACATCTTTGAGTGTCTCACCTGAGACTGGAAGCTGTTCCATGTGTGTGTGAGCCACTGATATCGCTGCAGGCCGAAGTTCGGCATCCGAGACTTCAGACTGATCATGTCAGCTTTCTGCACTGGGGGCTGAACACACACACACACACACACAGTTATCAATAATGATAGGTTGCTTGAACAACTCATTTGATGAAGAATCCTTCTTTGTACAATCATCTCCAAAGGTTCTAGAGGAGTCCCCAGAACTGAGCCAGCCTTCTTTATGAGCTTGATGATAAGTCACTTGCTCTGGTGCTGCTCCTCCAGCAGATGATGCAGAAGAGACAGTGCTCTCTACAACAGACTTATAGAAGATATGCAGCATCTTGCTGCAAACGCTGAAGGACTTCAGCTTCTTCAAGAAGTACAGTCTGCTCTGTCTCTTCTTGTAGACGCTTCACTGTTGCAGCTCCAGTCCAGTCTGTTGTCCAGGTGAACCCCAAGGTATTTCTCCTGCTCTGCCTCCATGGAGCCTCCTTTTCAACGCATTTGGAATGTGGGGCTGTAGTTGAGATATTATTTTAGCTTTTGAGATGTTAATCTGCTGCTCCCGGTTGTAAAAACCACCTTGTTGTCATGGTTACGCATCATAATGTCCAAAAGTAAATATGTTTCATTAAAAAATCCTTCCAGCTGCACAGCATCCAATACCAGAGGAAGTAATCAAACAAAACAAGAGATTTACATGGAGAAACAGAGGAATTAAAGTTTTCAAAGCAACGTCTCAGAATGAGCAACAGCTGCTCCAACATGCAGCCACCTGGAGCGGAGCCATTTTAGATGATAAAGAAACAAAACCCTCAAGTCCATCAATCTATCAATCAAATAATCTGAATTTATTATTTTCAACAACAGAACAAACTGATAAAAAGGTTAAAAACAAAACAAGCCTTCTGTTCTTTAGATGAACACATTTATTCTTTTATTCATTCATTCAACCTTTCTTTCTACAGGTTAGTCTCAATGAGCGTCAGGGACTCATTCAAACAGAGACCTGATCAACAAAGAGTGATGGCAACAGTGGACGATAACAGACCATCAAAGGATGTGAACAAACTGACAATAATGAGTGAACATAAAATTATATGAAAAAATATAACAAAAACAGCTGGATTACGAGGCGGTGTAGAAAACTACAAACAGGAACATCTGCAGGAACTGAACAGATGTTCGAAGCCACTTAGAGAGGTCAAAGGTCGAGAGCTTCAGATCTTTTTACAAGATGTTCCAGGAAACAGGAGCGGAGTAGGAGAAGGTCCTTTTGTCTAGTTCAGTCCTCACTGAGGGAACACTGCAGGTAATGATGTCCTGAGAGCGCACGCTGTAGCTGCACTCACACAGAGACATGTAGGAGGAGATGTATGAAGGCAGCAGACCAGGAAGTGATTTAAAGATGAAAATGTACCAGTGAGAGAGTCTGTGTGAAGTTAATGGTGACCAGTTAACCAGTGGATACTGGGTGCAGTGGTGGGTACGGTAGTTACAGCCAGTTATTAATCTTAGTGCACCATGATAGACAGCATCCAACATCTGCAGCATCCAACATCTGCAGCATCCAACATCTGCAGCATCCAACATCTGCAGCATCCAACATCTGCAGGGTTCTTGTAGGAGCGTTCATGTAAATAATGTCACCGTGATCAATGGAGGGAAGGAAAGGACCAGATACAAGGTGTTTCCTAACATTCAGGGTTAGACAGGATCTGTTTCTGAAAAAGAAACTCAGTTTAACTTTAACTTTGAGACATCCTCTCAGACCATCTGTCCTCTCTGTCCATCATCTGGACCTGTTGGCCCTCAGCAGAGGGTCCTGTGTCCTTGAGGTGCAGGTGGACCTCTGAGTGCCTCTGGAATTGGGCTATGCCTCTATGAGACCTGTGGTTCTGCTCAGAGTCTTTATGGAGACCTGTGGTTCTGATCCGAGTCTTTATGGAGACCTGTGGTTCTGAGTCTTTGTGGAGACCCGTGGTTCTGATCCGAGTCTTTATGGAGACCTGTGGTTCTGAGTCTTTGTGGAGACCTGTGGTTCTGATCTGAGTCTTTATGGAGACCTGTGGTTCTGATCCCAGTCTTTATGGAGACCTGTGGTTCTGATCCCAGTCTTTATGGAGACCTGTGGTTCTGATCCCAGTCTTT